AGGCGAATGTTTTTAGATACTACAGTATCCAGTAAAATTTGTTAACCTATCCGAGATATATTTTCAGACGCAATAGGATTCTTCCTTCTGGGACCAAAACTTAGGTTAAAAGGTTTAAATATTAACAAATACATCCAGTGTGAACGTGTGAACTTATGCCAACAGGGGCTTGTTTAAAAATGTTGACTTATTCAGAGACAAAAGAATGTGGTTTACTTCCTCACAATCGGGGACCACTTCCTGGACTATTCTACTAAAACCACAAAAGAATTTTAACCGATTTCAGTACCTATGTTATTTTATAACACTAATTTGCAAGTTACATATTTGTCTTGGACGAATTATCTTGATATTAGGAGCGTATTTGCGCTCATTACCGACCTTATATTGCCAATGTGTCTAAAGTATACAAGATACATTATAAAATGAGATCGTGGAATAACGCCATTGTACAGTGTGCTTTGGAGTTATATTTAATTTTAGTGTGGTTTTTGCTTAGCTTAGCAAAGACGTCCAACCCGAGGTTTCGCATTGTCTTCACGAGTACTTCCAGGAAAATTCTAAACCACTACCTCACAGAACACGGCAAATTCCACTGATCCACATTCTTCGAATTTAGCATTCATATTCTGTCCTTTGACTCTTAGATAAATAGCGTAGTACAAAGAGCATCATTAGATAAGCAAATCGTTCAGAACAGAATTAAAATTAGCAGCTTATAGTGATTAATGCCACGGTGGTCTAGCGGTTAGAACCCTGGCCTTGTAATCCTGGGGTCTCGGGTTCGATTCCCGGCGGTGCCCGAATTTATAACTTGTGTTGGGCAAGGCCGTGGTCTAGGCAACACGGAGTTTTCCTCCGTGGCATCCCAACAATTACTCCATTCACACACAGAAGAAGGCAATGGCAAACCACTTCTGGATCATCTGCCAAGAACGTATATGAACAGGTCCCAGTCCGAGAAAAGGATGGAAGGATCCTGTTCATATGGACCTGTCGTCAGACAGAACACTAAATAATAATAATAGTGATTAATAAAACAGCTGACATAATAAAACATTTCGGGCACACCTTAAGAATATGTTTTATCACTGCACAGACATTAATTATTATTATTATTATTTGTAAATCGATTGTTCGATGAGGAACATCAAATGATATTTTAATTATCTTAATTGTAAATTTTATATATGAATTGTGATTAGACGGACAAAAACCGAATAATTAATTAAATATTAGTTTCACAATATGACGCAACTATATCACCTTATTAATTATTATTGTAATTTTGTGGTTTCATTAGCATTTTTAACATATAATCTGTGTTTCTATTTTTTTTCTCAAGTTAATTTGTGTTAAAGTGATACTAATCTTGTGTTGTTAAAGTTTTATTTAGGTCATGTTAAATCCAATAACGAAATGCAATCTAGCGGATGGGTCGGTGTGCTGAGCTTGTGGCTAGATGGTCGTAGAACCTTGCACGATTTAGCACTACGTATTAGTGCCTGAAAAATCTTACGTGTGTGCAGAAAAACTCTTTACTTCATTACAGATTGTGACTACGTTGCAACTGTCAGATATAACCTCAAATTAATGCATCTGTGCTATGTTTTTCGATTTTTTACTTACGGGCTATATTTCATGAACAGTGTATGGACACCTATCGTCTACAAAAATCCATATAATTAGCTTCAGTGCTTTATTAATGATCACTGCGAAACTGAAAGCTGAAAATTCAATTTGAATTAATTTTCGAATGTCAAGATTTATTACATTAAGTGAGAATAATTTTGGTCCCAACTCAAAAGCAGAAATTATAAAAAAAAAAAACTGTGATAGATTGGGGAGACCTCTGATAAGATGAAATAATTTCGTTGAAATCAGTAAATTGGTTCGGGAAATTGAAGGGTGTATACACAGACACACTCATAAACAGACTGGTAGTTTAATAGAACTATTTTCCAATTTAGGAATGTAAATAAACTGTAGATGAGCAAATATAATGACAAGTCTGGACTGTTTGATGTTTCTTAATTAAACATAACAAGTGCTCTCATATTATACGTCGGGACAGACCTTCCCTGGTTTTGAAGTAATCTAAATTTCACTGTTCATTAAAAGTAATTTAATAATGATGTATCGTTTTGAAACATAGCCTGATTCCAAATCGTATACCACAACCGCGTAAACATTGTATCAACTTTATAAAACAATAAACGAATAAAATTACGTATTTGATTAAGATTAATCTGAGGTAATATGCAAACATGTCTCCCTGACAAACATTTATTTAAATACAAATATCGTAATCTTCATTAAAATTTCTGCATTAATTTATTTAATTTTAACGATGTTCTGAACTTGCTTAAAAATACTATGTTTTTGTTATATGTGAAATAACATAAACTTAATGACATTTATTTTGATGTAATTAAAAATACATGTATATCATGGCCACGTATAAAGAATACATTCTCAGTAGTGTCTTAGAGTTCTGGGTGTGAACAAAGCATGGGCGTATCATATCAGACAACCACCAGTCCTTACGAAAGAAAGAAGAAAGTAGAAAGTGGAGAGAGGAATATGCAAAGGAAGGAGAATCGAAAGAAATTGGAAAATAAAAACGAAAAAAATGAATAAGAAATGGCTGTCTTCTGGGTTATTACGCACTGATAATGGAGGCAGCAGGCACCTCTTAAACAGCGTAATAGCCCAGAAGACTGGAAGCCGTGAGAACCTGAAACCTGACTCAAGACAGAAGAGACAGTTAAAGACTGGAAGACAGTAGAAAGACAGAAATAAAGTAATTAACTAGTAAACAAGTCGTCTGTTATTGCACCCGTAACAAAGGACTATTAACGTCAGTCTTACCCCTGCAGCCTGAGGACACGCCATCACCCACTTAATAAGGTTCTCAGTATCTTCCATGCGACGTAAACAGGAAGAGACACATTCCGGCACTAATTTAATTCATAACTTAATCAACTTCCTTAAATGTACACCAAAAGCTTGTTTCGACCTGACAGCGTTGCCAAACATAAATTTATATTTGTAGTTTAGATGCGTCATGTTTGTGTTGAAATTCAGTATATTTTTATTTATTATTTCAGTCTATACTCAAACTTAATTTTTAGAATGTTGTTGTTAAAATTAAAATTAAAATTAAAATTTAGCGCTTTTTATCGTTATTACGATGTTAAAATTTCAGCGCTTATTATTTTACGACATGTTTCGATGCTATTGCATCATCCTCAGGTTTTTATTGTTATTTTCATCTTTAAAACTAATATATATTTATTAATGCAACCTTTTATTGAATTATTTGTTTTGTAGATTTCTTTTTGTAGGTATTCCTTTTGATCTTCGTAGTGTTTTTTGCATATTTTAGGTCAGTTGTTCATTATTCTGTGAAACAATTAATTAACATTCGAATTATTAATTATTAATATGAAAATGAGTTTGGAGATTGTCGTAGAAAATATATTTGTAAAATTTAATTTTAACAACAACATTCTAAAAATTAAGTTTGTGTATAGACTGAAATAATAAATAAATATATAATAAATTTATATATTTCTTTGCAAATTTTTGGTCTCATTTCTAGACATTAAACCCGTTTATGTTTATAATTTTTGTCTTTTAAAAGTCAATGTGTATTTCTCGTTTCACGCCGTTTGTGTGGTTTTTTTATCGGTCTACGAGTGACGTTTCGGACAATTGTATTTTGCTTTTGTCTTGTTCCACGTCTTAGGTCATATGTCAGTGATGATACCACCATTGTTCCAAAAAGTTCCACGCTGGTTTCTATTGTCATTTTCCTCTTTAATGTACAGTGCAATTTCTTCCATTCTTCAGATTCAAAATACTACGAATTAATGTCCTTAGGTATAAATTTCCTCGAGTATTAATGAGCAGAAACGTACGTTTTCTCTCAAGATTCAAAGGATTAAAGCGAAAAGAATGCAACTCGGTCTCTGTGAAATTTTTGGAAAAAAAACAAAACACGAATCACATACTCAAATTTGTTATACAGTTGATTTCAAAAATTCTAAAACCGTCTGCAGTTACATTTTTGCACTAAGATACCTCCGAAATTCGCTACCTTACCTTATACACTTATCTTTCTATTTACGAATTTGCGATTTACAAATTTTCGCTCAGCAGACCACGCAAATTTAAACTTTGTTTTCAGTTTACGGCTATTATTTTTGCCACAAAGAAAAACAAAACTTCGTCCGAGGCCCGAGGGTCCTTATTGCATCGAACACGGAGCAACACAACAGCAAACATGGATCTGACTCAGTTACCTTACTCTAACGTAAAATTAAAAGTAAAGGTGTACGCCATATAGGCGCTTGAGTGGAGAGCTCCTACTCATTCCTGATCTCAGCACTGGATGGGGGTGAGTGGTCGGCATCACGTTCCGGCCGTGCTTTACCCCCGAGAAAGGACCGCGGTACCCATTGAATATGAGGCTGGGTGGGACCCAGAATCAGTCTGGATGCAGAGTCTAGAGGAAAAATCCTCTGCCCCCGTCGGAGATCGAACCCCTGTCGTCCAGTTAGTAGCCGGTCACACAGAATTTTAATAAAGATTACGTTAATTTTGATGTTTATATTGTAACTATTTTTAACTGCTGTGCAATGTAAATGTTTAATTAAACACTTCAATAGTCCTTTACAGGGTTAAATAGGTAATAGCTTTAATAAAAAAACAATGTTCTTATATTTATTAATGTACAGTTTTCTAACACGTGTGGGGGGAAAATCCTGGGTTATTTCTCCACGAGTCGGAAAAGATAATTTTTTTTCACAACGAAATTTTGAAAATTTTATTTTCGAACTAGCAATTTTTATCTCATATATAAATTTTCATCGAACGAATACGTTCGAAAATCGACGGATATTTTTTTTTTCCGTAAGAACAGCAAAGAACTTCAATATTTTCGGGTTTTGCTCAGGGCCTACACCATTTTTGGCAGTTACATGAAACAGGCTTACCGTCTTGTTTCCAAGGTTACGGACTCGGCAGTTGAGGTACGCTGTTTTGCCGACCAGTGCTGTTACGTTTTTGGAAGCCAAGGGTTCGAAGTAGGGTCCACGCAGACCAGTGGCTGTGGGTGTTCCGATATTTCCGTCATCCTCTCCGTTGGCCTGGTGGACGCCACGTTCGTCGTTCGGCCGCATCGAGTCTGCCAGAAACCACAAGTAAAGTTATCAATTTTACAGTTACTTTGTGTAAAAAAAACATGTCTAGTGTCGCAGATGCTCCGTTTTGTCACAAACTTTACTGTCCTTAAGAGATATGAGGTTCATGTGGTGGTGAATATGTCAAAATGTTATATTAACCGTGGTTCTCCGGGTGACCTTGAAGATGTTTGTCGACGTTTCGGAGGGACGTGACGACTCCACATTCCGGAAGACGGCTTCACAGACGCTGAAGACCACAACTCACTCTATTAAACTTCTTCCAGTGTATCGCAATGTCATTGGCATAAACCAAAATAAAAAAAGTAATCCTGAGAAACAGACTAGTGAGCTTGTTCACATCTTGAATGATTAATATTTAAGTTCCAACCGTTAAAATAAACATGACAAGGAAAACAGTATATATGTACAGGATTCCCATAAAGTGCTTCTCACACGTAAAATTTAAATATTTATTAAATGCTAATGCACTTGTAAATACGGTAATGAACATTACAGTTCCATTAAAGACAACAATTTCTTAAGTAGCTGAAAACTACAATTGTAGCTTCTCTAGAAAGACTTTGCTCCGCAGAGTCACTCAATTTTGGTTAAAACAACAAACTCTGACTTTCAGTAACAGAGAAACGACTTCATTTGAATGTATTATTTTAATATGAGACTCGTTTGTTCGAAGAGAATTTAAAAAGTGGGGGCAATTGGAATATTTTTGTTCTTTGATTTGCAGCACTGCTCAGGCTTGGTCACGCTATAGCTCAAGGTCAGACGGTAGCATGCTGCGAGTGTGGTTCAGTTGTAAGCCGCTTTTGTAGAGTGAGTATGGTGTAATCAAAACGCAACAGTGATTTGCATATCGGAAAGAATGAAAGAGTCAGAGACCTACTGAAATTTGGCTTCCTAGTATGTGCACAATATTTTTTCCAAACTGAAGAGAGTACGAATGGGTAGAAACGATTGAATGCAGCTGAACCACTGTTGTTGGCACAGACAGGTAAGGATGCCTGGACGCCTATCCACATCCTCAAACAAATTAATGTTGCTCATCCTTGGTGCAAAACTATAATCGGCACAAACAGATTACAACTGTGTAAGATTTGAGGTTTTCACAGCGGTGAGTATGATGATTTCTGTCTTCTGGGTTGTTGCGCTGTGTAGTCTGATCAATGTTTACGAACGTTTCGGAGGTCATACTGCCTCCGTCATCGCCCTGATGATGGAGGCAGTATGACCTCTGAAATGTTGTTAAACATCAACCATACTACACAGCGCAACAAC